ATAGCCCTTGATGAGGACGTCAATATCGCCCTTCACACAGCATTCGCCATCTTATCTCCGCTCCCCACACAAGCCTCCTGGAAGCAGTCAGCACTGTTGACCGTCCTCTTTGAAAAGTGTCTTTGTCTTCCTGAACACAGGAGCTCCACTGGTCTGGGCTTGCCCCCATGGCCACCCTCTCCTGACTTTGCTGGTGCTACTGCTTCCATATCTTCAAATCTTGGGGTTTCCTGGGGACCCAAGCACAGCCCTCTTTTTATCTTCTCCATCTTCTCCTTGGAGAGTCTGTCATCTCAAGCCTCCTGACTATTCCCCTCTGTCAGAACTTGTGGCCTGGCCCAGAGCCTGAGGAACTGCGCTCCCGATGCATGCTTCCACCACGTGCAGCACGACTCCATTCACATAGCCTCCAGCACTTCAGCTTTGTGGTTGTTCTTTCCTTTTGAGTCAGCACGGCTCATGGTGACTTTCCAGATAGCAAAACAGGATGTCACTCGCCGATCCTGTGCCGACTGCCTGGTCATTGTATGTTGGAGTCCATTGCTGTGGCCATTGTGTGGTGCTTTCCCAGCCCCGGGGCTGGTCTTCCAGCTCTCCAATGGGCAACATTCTGTTGTGACCCTATAAGGTTTCCATTGGCTGAGTGTTGGAAGTAGACTGGAAAACCTTGATTCCTAGTTTGTCCCTCTTAATCTGGAGGTGCCATTGAAAGCTGTCCACCGTGAGTGACCCTGCAGATCATCTGAGATACCAGTCGCATAGCTTCTCGCATGACAGCAGCTCATAAGCCATAGACTCTCCAACCACCGGCAAGTGGTGGTGCTCAGACTGATGTGAACAGAGGGCCCTCTCCTTGCCCCTCCCACTCGAACCCATTGCTCCACCCTGAGAAAGAAGTCTGCACATGAGGGCTGACTCCAGATGTTGTCTCTTCCATGAAGCCTTCTCTGATCCATCAAGGAAGAATGAGACACTCCTTGGTCTATGCGCCCATAGGATTTAAAAAAAAATCATTTTACTGGGGACTCTTACAGCTCTTATAACAATCCATACATCAATTGTATCAAGCACATTTGTACATATGTTGCCATCATTATTTTCAAAACATTTTCTCTCTACTTGAGCCCTTGGTATCAGCTCCCCACCTCCCATCCTCGTGAACCCTTGATAAATAATAATTGTTTTTTTATAACCTACACCATCCTCTGTCTCCCTTCACCCACATTTGTGTTGTTCGTCCCCCTGGGGTGTGAGTGTTATACATTTTATCATCGTAATCGGTTCCCCTTTTCTCCCCCTTCTCCCCCAACCCTCCCGCTACGCTCATGGTATTACTGCTCCCATTACTGTTCTGAGAGAGTTTATCTGTCCTGGATCCTGTGTGTGAAGGGCTCTTATCTGTATCAGCATACATGCTCTGGTCTAGCCAGATTTGTAAGGTAGAACTGGGGTCATGATAGGGGAGGGGAAGGAAGCATTAAAGAAGTAGAGAAATGTTGTGTGTTTAATTGGTGTTATACTGCACCCTCGCTGACTCGTTTCTTCCTTGACTCTTCTGGCATGTCCAATTGTCTGCAGAGGGTGCCCATAATATTTTATTCCTATGACTAGGGTATTATTATTGTACCTTATCATCTATAAATTTGTGTAAGCTCCTTGGATCAAACTCCAAGAATCATGAATTAGAAATAGTGTCAGAAAGATTAATAGTATAGTTGGATCTGTTTAATGGCTTGAGCTCTGCTTCTATCAATTTATAGTTATATGATCTTGGGGAAATTACTTAACTTCTCGAAGCCTGCTTCCTCACTGATAATATGTTTGTAATCTTCCTGATAAGGGTAGTCTGAGAACTAAATGATATAATACATGGAAAGGCCCCAGGAGACTCCCTCAACCACCACAGGACTTGGGTGTCAGATCTTTTGTGTTTACGGGGTCTTTCTTGGGGACCAGACCCCAACAGCAATCATACACATTTGCGATCCACCCTCTAGCTCCCTATTTTTTACTGCTGCTTGAACATGTGCACTTGGATGCCTTACTACCATCTCACAATCACACCCGAAACTCAGTTCATCCATCCTGCTCTCTTCCTACCTGCTGGCCCTTCTCCACCTGTCAGAACTGGATGCTGTCATTGACTCCTCTCTCCTCTCTCCAAGCCCTAGACGGCTTCTACTCTGTGATTCAACTTCATTCTATGCGAGGGCAGCTTCAGCCAATACTCACTGTGTGTCTGGTCTGGGTCAGACCACAGGCTAGCTCATGGGGTCTCACATACAGTAGTAGTAAACTACTTGGGCAGGGCTTTGGCCTGCAGGGAGTTTATACTAGCAAAGAGCAAAAACAAAGACCATCAGCCAATAATCAACTTCGAATGAAAAGGACGTTCTTGAATGTCGAGGAGCCCAGCCCCAGACAGGAGGAGCGAACCTAGTCCAGTGTCCAGGGAGGCTGCAAGGAGACAAGGAGCAAGCGAGCTAGGGGACCACTTGGAAAGCTCCCGGCAAGGCTCATCCATCAGGAGGTCCCGTGGTGTGTATTCCCTCCCCCGAGCCAAGCCCCTGGGGTCCCCCACTGACCGAGCTAAGTGTGCGCTCGCTAGGCTCATTTCTATCAGCCGGTGGCGGAGGGTCAACAGTTCCAGAAGTTTGGAAAAGTTCTCCAGGAGCAGCGCATGCGCATCTGGGCCTTGCTTCTCTCCTTCGTCCGCGGCAGACTTGAACGCAAGCAGGCCGAGCTCCTCCAGGAGAAAGGGGTCTCCCATCACTCTAGCTGAGAACAGCTGAAAGAAGACAAAGCACACCTTCACACGCACAAGCAACGGAAGCCCAGCCTGTCAGAGGCCCGGGCTCTGAGCTCCAGCCCTGGCTCCGGCACAAGCGGTGAGAGTTTGCCCGTGTTTCCATCCCTCAGTTTCCTGATCTGGAGAGTGGGGACAAGGAGACCCCCATCAGTACTTACCGAGACTGAGAGGGTCAGAGCTACACCAGACAGTATTTGCCGATGTTGTTTGCTGTTCTGACCATTATACGTGGTTTGAGGCAAGATAAACCAAAGAGTCGAAATGACAGGACAACCTGAATGGAAATTCGACCTGGGTATTTTCAAAGTATTTTCTCCCTCAGAATTCAAACGCCAAGGAGCGGATTCTAACAGGGCAGGGTAGAACTGCTCCTGTAGATTTCTGAGACTGTAACTCTTTACAGGAGGAGGAAGCCTCATCTTTCTCCCTTGGAGCGGCTGGTAACTTTGAACTGCTGACCTTGCAGTTAGCAACCCAGCACATAACCACAACACTACAGGGCTCCTTTAAAAGTATGTTGGTGACCAACAATAATAATTTCTTATAAACCCTTGGAACTTCAGTTTCAAAATTTGAACAGATAAGTTCAAATTTGAATAGATCTCAAAAATAGTAATAATTAAAACTATATGGTATCAATAGAGGATTAGACATGTATCCTCTAGTATTTTCACATCTAGTAACTCATGTTTATTTTCACAAGACCTCCATGATGTGGAGGTGGTGGGTAGTATTCCTAGGTTACCAGGGAGGACTCTGAAACGGCTCAAGGTCGCAGCAGTCGCAAAAGTAAACTTATCCATCCAGTTCCAAAGTCAATGATTCATTCTGTCAAGTTGCCTTCACAGTATTCCTCTGCTCAGAGCCAGTCCTGGGCAGTTTGGGAGTCACTCTGTCCTCTAACACCCCGGTGATGTCATGATTATGCGTTGGACTGTGATCAGTCCCCAAGGTCGACAGTTTGACACCACCAGTGCACTCCATGGGAGAAAGACGAGGCTTTCTACTTCCGTGAATAGTTGCAGTCTCAGAAACTTATGGGGACAGTTCTACTCTGTTCTACAAGGGTCGCTGTGAGTTGTCACCGAGTTTGAGTTGTTTTTGTGGGCTTTAGGCTTCCCTCTCAATACAACTGAATGAGGTCTGATGGGACATGGGTTAAATGCTCAGTGGCGAATCAATAGGTTGGTTGTTCGAACCTAGCAAGGAAGTCCTCTGGAGAAACACCCGGGTGATCTGCTCCCTTCAAGACCATGGTCAAGAAAACCCTAAGAAGCAGTCCTAATGCCACATGGTGTTGCTGTGAGTAGGAATTGACTTAAGGCATCCGACAATATACCACTCCTAGCAATGACTCACACTGGGAGAATCCTTGCCTGTCTTTTTCTGATGTGGCCACGAGAGTGTAGACATTACCTTTGCTACCCCTCTACCCACCAAAGGACTCATCTACCCAAGAATGCCATTGCTAGGCTCCTGTGTTCTTCTAAAGCACCAGTTCTCAACCTGTGGGTCTCGACCCCTTGGGGTCGTCAAATTCATAATAGTAGCAAACTTACATTTATGAAGTAGCAACGAAAATAATGTTATGGTTGGGGGTCAGCACAACATGAGGAACTTAATGAAAGGGTCACAGCATTAGGAAGGTTGAGAACCTCTGTAAAGTGTAACACAGATTATTCAACTAAGTCTTGTCTTTCTTCTGGAGGCAATATCTCCTCCAGTTCTGACCTAATACAAAGAGAATAATCTGAATAGTTATCATTTATAAGTTCAAATTTGAACAGATCTCAAAAATATTAATAATTAAAGCCATGTGGTATCAATAGAGGATTAGACATATAGCTTAGATAGTCACTGTGATTTGTAGAGATACTGGGAGGAGGGAGGGTGAGAGAAGGTGAGTTGGAAAGGGGGAACCGATTATAAGGATCTACATACAGTATAACCTCCTCCCTGAGGGACGGATAACAGAAAAGTGGGTGAAGGGAGAAGTCGGACAGTGTAAGATATGACAAAATAATAATAATTTATAAATTATCACAGGTTCATGAGAGAGGGGATTGGGGAGAGAAAGGAAAAATGAGGAGCTGATACCAAGGGCTCAAGTAGAAAGCAAATGTTTTGAGAATGATGAGGGCAACAAATGTACAAATGTGCTTGACACAATGGATGGATGTATGGATTGTGATGAGTTGTATGAGCCTCCAATAAAAGGATTAAAAGAACAGGAAATGCTAGAAAGCAGAAAAAAAATGCATTTTAAAACCTGACACCACACCGTAAGACAATGTGGAAAGAATCCTCAATAAATGGGAGGAGGAGAATGGCTACTAAACCTAACTCACTGCCATCTGATTCATCTGGACTCTCCAGGACAGAGTAGAACCGCCCTGTGGGTTTCCAAGACCGGAACTCCTTACTTAACGGGAGTAGAAGGCCCCATCCGACTCCCCTGGAGCAGGCGAGGGTTTGAAACTTTCAGAGGAAATAAACAAAAGCAAAGATGGCTGGCTAGCATTCATTGATTCATTGCCCTGTGAGTCAAGTGCCTCAAGGTCTTGGAAGCTCACACAGCCCTCCTCGGGCTTCCCTGTTTTAAGGTGGATCCAAAGTCCATTTGCCCAAAGGGCATCTTGCAAAACTGGCTGTTCAGTAAAGCGCCCCAGGCTCTCCTTCCTGGAGGGAGCTATTGACTCTTCATTAAATAGGTGTCCAAGTTGTTTATCCATAACACAGCCTTTGTTTGATTCTGAGCTGCTACATTGATCTCTCTGTGTTTGGCTCCATTAGGAAGCATGGGAATGAGGATCAGCAAAACCCAGCTATTCCTGAGTTTGGCCTAACAGCCAACACAAGAGCCCACCTTACTTTCCCCACCAGGTGGGGAGGGAGAAGTTCTAGAACCAACATACAGAATGAAATGCTCTTTCACCTGAATCATCTAGAGCTGTCAAAGGGACCTAACAGATAATAAATAAGAACAGAAAAGCTACACAAAATACGCTAATGACAAGATATCTGCAAGAATATTTCACCTCAATAAAGAGCAAAGAAAAGCAAATGAAAGCAGCCAATCTCCACCCTTTATATAGAAGATGTATATCAGTGCATACACTTTCTATTTACATCTAATACAAGCGCTCTTACACAAGGGGACTTCAAAACGTTTGTGGACAAACAGAATTAAAAGATAATGGCATTTTTTAACAATCATGTTGATGCCTCCTTGACCATGGCTGTTGACATCATAATCAGCACAATTCTTTTAGGAAGCATTTTGTCAGAATGTCTCCAAAGACTTTTAAAATAGCTCCAGCCATTCTACTTCCAAGATTCTATCAAAGTGGAAAAATTTGGTAGCATACAGATGCACTTTCTAGCATTTTTAATAGCAATAAATATTGGAAACCACTCTACTATCCATGAAGTCCTCCTGGCCCTGTTAGGTAAGTGCCGGGAGACTAATTGCAATGTCGGCAGTTTAAACCCCCAGCTGCTCTGCCAGAGGCAGGGAAGCTGTCTGCTCCTGGGCCCTGGAAACACTGCGTTGGGTTTGCTATGGGTTGGAATCCACTCAGTGACAGTCGGGGAGTAGAGCGTGTTCATGAAGCAGAGATAAATGGATAGAAAAGCTATGATCCATCACTTAAAGGGGATTATGCTGTCATAAAGGTAAGTACAAAGGCTAGGTAGCATTATGAAAAAAAACTTTAATATAATGCTAACTGAAAAAAAAGGAGATGAGGGGTAAAAGACAGAACTATGTAAATCATGTGTAAAAGTCCTTGAATTCAGAGGGGAAAAAATGACAGATGTGTTTGTATTAAGGATCATCTTCCCCATTTTTGTTTAAATTATCTAAAGGGTCACAAGGAAGGAACAAGTCAGCCAGGTTGCAGTATAGCACTGACAAAACACACAATTTTCCTCACCCCCAATATCATTACCCCAGCTCTACCTTACAAATCCGGCTAGACCGGAGCATGTGCACTGGTACAGACAAGAGGTCTCAACATATGGAATCCAGGACAGATAAACCCCTCAGGTACAATAATGGAAGTAACGATACCATGAGGGTATGGGAAGGTGGGGGGGGTGGGAAAGGGGAGAAAGGGGGAACCAATTGTAACGATCAATGTATAATAGCGTCACCACCACCCCACCCTGACTCCAAAGGGAAGAACAACTGAAACATAGGTGAAGGGAGACAGTGGTCAGGGTAAGATATGAAAATAATAATTTATAATTTGTCAGGGGTTCACAAGGTGGGGGGGAAGAGGGGAAAAAAGAGGAGCCAATACCAAGAGCTCAAACAGAAAGAAAATGTTTAGAAAATGGTGATGGCAACATATGTACAAATGTGCTTGATACAATTGATGTATGGATTGTTATAGGAGCTGTAAGTGCGCCCAATAAAATTATTATTTTTTAATTTCTCTGTAGCTTTATATTATTTTGGACAATTAAACATAAAATGAAATTTGAGCTTGAGCACGTGGGGAGTGAAGACCCAGGCCAGCGTAGCGAGGAGACACCTCAGGGCAGACGAAGAACCACACCTGTTGTGCTCGGCTGGCATTCACTTGGACTCCCAGCAACCATCGGGGCAGAGCCGAATTGCCCCGCCAGGGTTTGCTTGACAGAAGCAAACCGTGGCACCTTTCTCTTACAGCGTGGCTGATGGATTTGAACCACTGACCACTCTACCACCAGGCCTCCTTTGGTAGCTAGTGACCTTGAAAGTCACTCAGTCATCCAGCAAGTAAGGTCACCATGAAAACCCAAGGTCCATCATGAAAGCCTTATTAGGAAATAATTAACCTGCACCTGAATGCCAATGTCATCAGGCTACACTTCCAAACCTAGACCACGAGAGTTGGAAGGGGCTTTCGAGGTCATCGTGCTCCTCCCGCCCCACACATACAAACATCCTATTACAGAGATGAAAGGTGGGCTCAGAGAAACTAAGAGACTTGCTTGGGTCACACAGCAAGTTCACAGCTGGGCTGAGCTGGTGCCCGGCTCTCTGACTCCACACCCAGCATTTCCTCTCCTCCACCAGATCTCGACTCAAGACAAAAAGCACAACCTGGTGGTGGGGAGAAGAAAATCACCTGTATCCCCTTGCAGAGGGGTCTCGGGGAGGAGACGAGCCAGTCAGGGTGCAATGTAACAACGACGAGAAGTACAACTTTCCTCTAGTTCCTAAATGTTTCCTCCCCGCTCCCACTACCATGACTCAAATTCGATCTTGTAAGTCTGGCTAGACCAGAGGATGTACACTGGTACAGATAGGAACTGAAAATCCAGGGAATCCAGGGCGGATGAGCCCTACAGGACCAGTGGTGTGAGTGGCGGAACAGGGAGGGTAAAGGGAGAATGGGTAGGAAAGAGGGAACCGATTACATGGAACTGTGTGTGACCTCCTCCCTGGGGGACAGACAACCGAAAAGTGGGTGAAGGGAGACGTCGGACAGGGCAAGATATGACAAAATACCCATTTATAAACTATCAAGGGCTCGTGAGGGAGGGGGTAGCGGGGAGGGAGGGGAAAAATGAGGACCTAATGTCGGGGGTTTGAGTGGAGAGAAAATGTTTTGAGAAACGATGTACAAATGCGCTTTACATAATTGATGTGTGTATGGATTGGGATGACAGTTGTATGAGCCCCTAATAAAATGTTTAAAAAAAGAAGAAGAAAAAAAAAAGAAAATCACCTGTAAATTTAATTTTAAAAGCATATATTTTTAAATATAAAAAACAAATCGGGAAACCTTTCCCATATATCTAGGGTACATCCCTGTTTTAATTTTAATGGCTTCCCTATCAACTGACCAAAAGAAGTCTTACACAAATGTTGGCGAGGTCCACAACTAGGCTCTGTCCCTGACCAAATGGGGAGATGGAGTCAAACAGGGAAATAGTAACATCAAAGAAGGAGCCTTCTTGTCTCCATGGGCCCAACTACCCCATTTATGGAGCAAAAAGACCTACGTCTTTCTGGAGCTGGGCACTGTACCAGGACTCGGGCTTGACCGGGGCCAGCCATATATCCAAGGCCAGTCGAAACACGAGGTTCTCCAGCTGGGCGAGCCCGCTGGCCGAGGCAGGTCGGCAGATGCTTCGGGACTCCCGGAAGAGATGCTCCAGGGCTTTGGGAATGTGCGCAGCCAGGCCCAGGGAAGGGTGGAACTCCAGCAGATAAATGTTTTTCAGTGCTGGGCTGGAAGGAGCAGAATAAGCAACAATGTCAAGCAACAAAGAACTGCTTTTGTTTCCAAAGATACTTGAATTTCTGATGAGCGGTAATAGTGCCCCTGTGATCCAGAGTCTTCTGAGACGCGGAGAGCGCGGAGGGCCCTGGGAGGCCATCCTGGGAGCCCGCTGGACAGCGCAGCCTGCCCTTTGCTTCAACATGAACTCTTTTCAGATGAGCAGACCTAAGAAGGTATGCTAGAGCCCAGTGAATCCGCTTCCAATTATACACCGCAAACCTGTCGGCATTTCAATTATCAACACGTAGTCAAATATATAAAAACAAAATAATTTCAAAGTGATTAAACATAAAAAGCAAGAAATAATTTTTCCATAGCTGTTAGTACCTACGAGGGGGCTTCTAAAAGTTGTTATGGACAAATAGAATGAAATGCTCATAGACGTGGTCTACAAACTTTGCAGCCCCCCAATATTTTCCAGGAGCCCAGCTGGTGTAGTGGTTACCCGCGGGGCTGCACTGCACACGGGGTTGCCGCGAATCAGAGTTGGCTTTACGGCAATTGGCTTGGGGACGGGTACTTGTTATTACTGACAAAGCAAACACATGTCCCACATATAAGTATATAAATTCCTTCTTTGTGGCCCTTCTAATTACTTCTCTCATTTCCTCCACTTTTTAGAATAGTATTTAGATTTAACACGATAGCCTTAATGTCTCTAGCACATCGTCAACCACCACCAACATACCTGCTGTTATTGATGGAGATAAGTTGTTGGCAAATGATGTTCGGGGGGAGTCCAAACGTGCTGCTCTCCTCCTCTGAGCGAGCTACTCGCCAAAGCCGCTGGACATAATCCCGTTGACGCTCCATCTAGACACAGCGGGGAGTTAACAGGAGAAAAGCCCTGCTTCCCCTGGGCGTCAGCAATGGGCAGTGGCAGGACAAGGGTGAGGGTCCCCTGCTTCTCTTCATGATTTGACGAATCTTCACCCAGACATTGTTTGGGGGAGGGGGGGGTCTCCTAGCAACTAGACATGCGGGTGTCCCTGTCTGCACCCACTGGCAGCCAACCTTCAGGTGATTTTAAGAGGCAAAAGGAAATGTCTCTCTGACACTGAAAAAACACTCACTGTCATTGAATTGATGCCGACTCATAGCAACCCCCTGAGACCGGAACTCTACAGGGGTAGAAAGTCTCCTCTTTCTCCCAATTAAATGACTACTTGGGGAAAAATTCCAACCAAGCTCCAGGTAACTGCACGGTAATAGCCCCTTGCCTTGGTAGTACCCTTCCTCAGTGCCAGTACCCTTCCCCCAGAGGAGAGACAATGTGACTGTTTCTTCTATGTCCTAAAAGCAGCCGTAAAACTAAAGCATAATAACAATGAACACAAATGTATGCACTCTTGTTTTGAAAATGTCTCTCCTTACACTTTCTTTCCCTACCGATAAGCTCGGTCTAGTGATGTGCGGCCAGAGTGCGCCTTCGAGGCAAGGATGGCCAGATTTCCTCTCACGTACTTCGGACATGGGGTCAGGAGAGCCCAGTGCCTGGAGAAGACATCATGCTGGGGACGTAGAGGGGCAGCAAAAAGAGGAAGACCCTCAAGGAGATGGATGACACAGCGGCTGCAACAATGGGCTCAGGCATAGGAACAATTGTGAGACGGTGCAGGGCCGGGCACGGCTTCAGTCTGTGGTACATAAGGTTACTATGGGTCAGAACAGGCTTGATGGCACCTAACAAGGACAACAACCTGGTCTAGTGAAAACTGACCTGGTCAATGCCTCGAGGACTGTGAAACATAAGGAAGGTGGGAAACCACCCTTTCCAAACCAAAAACCCACTGCCATCTTGCTGATCACAACTCACGGGGGCCCCTGGGTCCCAGAGTAGAACGGTTCCAGAGTGCTTTCTGGAGGATCATTTTCATGGAAACACATCGCCAGGTCTTTCTTCCACAGCGCCATCAACACCAAACACCAAACAAACTCACTGTCAGGGAGGTGATGCCCACTCGTGGAGGCCCTGTAGGGCAGGGTAGAGCTGCTCCTGTGGGTTTCGGAGGCTCTTCTCGGGAGAAGCAAGCTCCAACTTTCTCCTGCAGAGCAGCTGGTGGTTTCAAACTGCGGACCTTGAGGTGAGCAGCCCAATGCATAACCACAATGCCTCTAACGCTCCTACCGTGCCACCAGCTGGGCTCAACTTGCCAGTCTCTACATTAGTAGGTGAGCAAAAAAGGTTTGCACCACCCAAGGGGCCTAACCACCTGGTTAGGCTTAGGATTAAACCAGGCAAATGAGTTTACAGAAAAGCACGCTGCACGCGCTCCCCTTAAAATCCTAGCATCTGGACAGGAGAGAACAATTAGTGTTTCCAGTCCTGGTCAGAGCTATCCATTCTTCTTGCACAGGTAAATTTTTAAGCCCAACTGTCTTCAAGTGCAAGGGGCCTAGTGGCACTGTGGATTAGGTGCTGGACTGCTAATTGCGAGTTTGGGGGTTCAAACCCACCGACAGCTCCTCAGGGGAAAGATGAGGCTGTCTGCTCCCAGGAGAAAGAGGCACCAGTCTGCTTCTGTAAAGATGGAGAGCCTGGGGACACCTGTGAGGCAGTTCTCCTTCACCCTATTGGGTGTTAAGCACCAGAATCAACACGGTAGTGGTGGGTTTGGTCGGTGGTGGGGGGTTTGGTTTGGGGGGTACTCACATGCTGGTTGAGGATGCCCCTCACCAGCTGCAGGTGAAGCTTCAGGCAGGTGCAAGCATCTCTGTAGGCCTTAATGAAATAAGGATGGCTGGGATCGAACCGTGGACGCTGGTGCATGATGTCAGTGATCACCTGAGCTAAGGCAAACCTCTCCTCGGGGTCCAACACGTGCTGGTAGGCTTCAAAGTAACTGTCGAGAAGCTGCAGGTGGG